ACGGGGATGTGGGGGGGATTTGGTGAAGGGGGGAGCCTAGTAAACATAATGTCCTTCATGTAACTGTAGATTAATAATACCAAAATAAAATTTTTTTTAAAAGTTACCTTTTTCTTTTTTTCTTATATGCCTATGGCCAAGCTTCCTGGAAGATATTGTTAGTTCTTTAATGGAAATCCTTTTGTGTGCTCATGACAGGTAAAGTTCTAGGACTGAGACTGCAGAAGAAAATACAGAGAAATACAGAAAAAGTAACATAAAGGAGCTATGTATGAAGGAGAAGAAAGCACAGAGGAGTCCAACAATGAATTTGTGTAACAAATGGCAATGGAATTTTGAATGGACCATCTTCTTAAAAGGAAAAGAAAAGGTATATTTGTTGTCTTTTACTCACACTGCCCTTGATATATATAAAAGAATTCACCCAGAAAAAAATTATGATTATCCCTAGTATACTAAAAAACTTTATATGATGTAAAAACTGATGACTTGTATGTTCATCTATTTGAAAACTTTCTGCATTAAAAAAAAACAAAATTATTTTTTTACAGGAATATGACTTCAGCAGCCTTTAAGCCTTATTTATTTTGAAGAACATTGCAAAAACCTGAAAATATGGATGCAGTAGATCAAGTCCCCTTTCTTGAGTATAATTTTAAATTAAGGCACTTTGGAGAAAGACCATCTCCTCATCAATTTTGTAGCCACATTCCATACTACTTGGCTCTAAGAGGGCTGAAGATACAAATAGCAAAGGTAGGAAGTGGACTATGCCTGCTGAATGGTCACTTCTTTTCTTTATCTCATTTTATCTCATACTAGATGCTGTAATTTCAGTAGCCATTCGCCTTCTTGATTAGTAAAATTTGAATTTTATTTTCCATCCTTTTTTCTGATTATATAAGCCAAATAGCTAATTTAAAAATTAAGAATGTATGTACCTGCATGTAGTTTATGTTAAAGAATATATTATAATAGCATATACATCATAAATATAATTTACATCCCTCTAATTTTTAATCAACTGTATGACTGTGTAGATAAATTTATGTTAGCAATTCCTCACCTCCTTCTCTCTAGGGCCCTCCCTGCTTCCTTTGGACATTTCCAAACTACTTTGCCCCTGTTCTCCTTCAAAGCCCCTAATTCCATGAACTTCAAAGGAATTTCAGAACAATTCACCCTTTTTTACAGAGTGATTCTCTCTCCCTCTCTTCCATCCTTCCTGGGTCAATCACCTCCATCCATTGGTTATTTCAGCTCTTGTCTCATTATCTTCCCCTCCATCTCTGCTCTTGCCATTCATGGTATGATTTCAAAGGTCTTCTGGCAGGGCCAGACAGGGAGAGGCCCACAAGGCACCAGAACGCACACTTGCAGGAGGCGCTCACTCTCAGGGTGGAGCAAATGCAGTATGGGCGTCCTTTGAGTTTAACTGCCAGGCTCTGCCCTTGCCTGCCCCTTATCCCAACCCTGCCAGCCTCAGTGAGGACTTCCCAACTGCAGTGAACTTTCCTCCACTGACCTCAACTACCCTTCTAATCCACTTATAAACTACCCTTTACTTATGGTGCTCATTGCTCTCTGATGTTACCTATGTATTTGTTTATTATCTATCATCCTGATCTGATTGTAAAACACATAAGAGAGGTAAAGGTCTGTTCATAGCTGTATTCACGGTGCTGCGAACAGTGCCCAGCAGGTAGTGGAACTGTATGAATGAACAAAGGACTCGCCAGTGATAGCCCTAATTATACTGTGACCTCCCGCGTCTTGTTCAGACTACTGCCTCCTTGTCAGCATACTCCTTTTTTGGTGTTCCCATCCCAGCGTGTGTTAAGATCATTCAGGATCCATCCTCTCCAGTCTCCTGGAGAAGAGGGTCCCCTCACTTCCTCACTCTCAACACACCCACACATATCTTCACTTTCATCATTACCAACCACAGACTTCATATTGTTCCACTATGGTGCTCCTGTCTAAACCCTTTCTCCAACCATCACTTGTAATCAGCTGACAACCCCTAACTCTGCTTAAACACAGTTGGAATGCCTTCATACCATGTTCAGGGATCGAAGGGACTGGGACAAAACCCACACACTTCAGAGCTGGGCCCAGTCTTTAAACATATGGCCACAGTTCTAAAATTCTACCTTTTTAAATATTTCACATTCTCACTTTCCAAAATGACCATTTGGAACTTTCCTCTCTCTTCAGAAACCTCAACAACATCTTTCTCCTCGCATCCACTTGGCGCAGGTAATCTCCAAATTAGAGGCCTGGCCACAGTGGTGTCCCTTAGTGCCATCCCCTCTAAAAGGAAAAGTGCACGTGTGTGGCCTGTGTGTGCTTCTATTAGCAAGCTGCCCCCCACATGTGGGCTAGATCCATTTTTGTCTACCTCAGTGTATTATCAGATGGGGGTGATTTTGTTCCCACAAGATACTTGGACTTGTCTGGGGCATTTTTAGCAAAAATGGTGGTGCTGATGACATGTAGTGAGATGAGGAGAGTGATGCTGTAGCCACATTCCATACTACTCTCACACACTTTACCTGGCCTTATCTTCCTCTTACTCTGCTCTTATTACCCTGGTAACATTATCTAATCACATAACTTGAAATAGAATGTACACATACTGACTTTACCCTTAATTCTACCCTTATAAAAACTGTGTATTTGATAGTCCCTATTCTATGTCTCTATAAATGTCCACTATCTCTATGAAATGCTCTTTCCTAATACAGAACTGAAGTATCAAAATGGAACTTTCAATTCTTCCCTCAAACCTCACCTTTTCCCAGTTTTTCTTTATGAATAACTTGTACCATTGTCTACCAAATAGGGGAGGACCAGAACATGTGATCTTACCCACTCACTGATACCAACGTCACTTATACATAGCTCATGGATGTATTATGAGAAACCATTCTGAAATCAAAGCCTGGGGCATGAAGAAACACAGCAAAGGTGTAAAGGAACTCCTTACTTCATGTCCATGAAGGGCATTCATTTTTTTATGAATACATGAACTGCTCTTCATATTGGTTTGATAGTATGCACCACTTTTTTATATCAACAAGCTCCATGGTTGAAGGGCTCTTTCCCTTGCAGTAGGGGTCACTCAGGAATGAGGAAAGCCTCAGTCATACTGTCAGGGTCTGGTTTGTTACCATTGTGGTCTTGGAGTAATGTGAAGATCAAAGAAGGTAGAGGAAGTCTTCATGGAGGGTGCTCAAAAGAAGCTACTTTACTCTGCATAAATCTGTACTTTTTATAGTGCTATAGTGCTAATTCATGGTTACATAAATATTGAAGAAATGCATGTGTGTGGCCTTCATGAACAACTGTCTGGCCTTCAAGATGCTTATCTAGCTCCTTATTCATGGGTACTATGTGCTGTGTTTTCAAGGTTTTATGGACAAGGCCAGACAAACCCAGATCCATACAAAGCCAGACATATCCTGGGTGAAGTAGCAGACAGCTGTCCTCATATAACAGTAGGAAAAGTGAAGGGGCAGGGGTCTTCCCTACCTTCCACCCCTTTCTGCAGGATAGCAGCTGTCTGCTTCTTCCTTGTATACAAAGCAGAGCTCTATGCCCAGAGCCCACAGAAACAGTATAAAGAACAATACACAAGGAGGCCGTATGTCCCAGTGGTCACTAACCACCACCAAGTGGGACCAAGCTGTAACCACCAAGTAGACAGGGGATCTTGAGATAAGGTTTGCATCTGAGACACTTCATCATCTATTTCCTGGAGCATGGCTTGTATTTGCTGCTGGTGGTCCAGAATATAAACACAGCAGTCTATGTGTAATAAAGCACAGTTGCCCTGTTGTGCAACTATGAGTATATTCAGAGCCATTCTGTTTTGTAAAATCACCTTCTGCATTTGGGTGACTTCATCTAGCAACAAGGCTAGCAAGGACTTTGTTATATTCAGGGTATGAGCCACACATTGTCCCAGGGCTTCTATTTGTAATTCTACATGTATAGTGCTGGCACCTGGAAGGAAAATAGCCAGGGATAAAACCACCCTGCTGTCTGTTTGGGATGATGCCAGTGGGAATATACAGTATCCCAATTATGTGTGGACCATGGCAAGGTTTGTAGTTTCTGTCCTGATAAGTATGGGTGGCTCCAAGCACAATGGCTTGTCCTATTTGCAGCAAGATAGGACCAGCCATATTCCCCACATATCCAAATGGTTTATCCTGGCCGGAGGTCGGTTGGCACAGTGCCTACATGGGAGCAACCATCCCACCAATGCTTAGGGGTGCAATTAACACTGACATTAGCACACAATTCTCTGGGTACCAGCCAACCATGCAATTGGGCATGTGAACCTGCTGTTCAATGCACAGTGGAGCTATGGTTTGCAAGGTTACATGTACACTAGACATCCAATCATACCAATTACACATGATACCTTTCCCAGGCAGAGTCTGTGCTGATTATCAGATCAACTGCTCAGTTGAGCACCATTTTGCTTCACCTTTGGCATCATTGTGATTCCATGCTCAGAAGCATTCCCACACAGACAGTTTGGTGGGAGTGATTTTTCACGAAAGTCCATCAGTGACTTCCTTAGGCAGTTCAATACACACACAGCAGGGGGAGACATTATATACCTGGGCAAAAGTATGGACCCATGCCACCATACTATTGCTCTGTCAACCTGAGTGGAAAGACAGCAAAGACACCATCAATGGCAAGTCCTGGTTTTCCAGGAGGATACAAGTGACCTTGTCATCTTATAACAAAACAGTGGCCGCCAGGGGTGTTTTTCCTGGTCTGTGATACCAGACCAAAGCATCCAAAGACACTGACAGAGTATCAGGTTCAGCCTTCAAATAATTCTGCTATTGGCCACATTTACATGACCAAAGTCCCTGCCAATATGGCTTGTTGCCTTCTCTGGCAAGGAAGCAGTCAAAAAGGCCACTTTCCTATCCATGGTGTAATGTGTAGCCCATGGGTCAGCACCTCCCCCATACCTCATACAATGTGACCCATGGAGGTCCTTCAAACACCAAGGTCCATAGCCACATCCACTCCTCTGTGCAGCCAGGGAGAGCATATGTAGGGCAGGAAGGAGCAATGTTTCTTCCAGGAACTGTGGCTGTAACTCCCTGGGGCCTTGTTTTAAATATTTCAAGACGTATGGGTGAGCTACCAACAACCTCCCTATGGGACTTTCCCCAATTTTCCTTGGTGAATCATACAACAAATGCTTCACCCACTGCATCCACCCTAAATGTTTCAATTTGTCCTTTAACAGCACACTATACCTTTCTATCATTCCAGCCATATGAGGTTGATATTGCACATGTAATTGCCATACAATGTCCTTTTGTTGAGCACGTTCTTTTATCTTCTGAATTGTAAAATGACTCCCTTCATCACTGTTGACCATTAACAGATGTGCATAACTGGCCCATAAGTCCTCCAAGGCCCATTTAGTAGTTTGTTGGGTAGCCTGGGCTACAGGATGGGCAAAACCCAATGCTGTAGCCATTTACACTGCTGTTAATGCATATTTAAATCTCTGATTACTGGGCAAAGGCCCTATGTAATGTATTTGCCACATCTGCAAGGGTTCTGATGCATGGGGGGACTACCCCTCTTGCATGGACACCCAACTACGATGCAGTTAAAAATAAGTGCATAGAGCACCTGCTTATACTGCTTGTTTTGTGTCAGCAAACAACAGCAGATGTACCATCTCAGGATGATGTTACACATAGTTCCAGGGCCTACATGCCCTAGTTTCTTATGCAACAATGATCCCATGTCCATAGGAAGAAGCTCCTAAAGCATACGAGCCCTGGTGGCCAGGGTGTTGGCCACATGATTCCCAGTGCTTAATGCTGGGAGATGTCCTGAGATGGAATATATCAGGGCACCTTCCTTTAACCCACAGGTCCACAGGTCCTTCCACATTATTTGTCCCCAAAGTGGGCCATGGCTGATTTTCCAGTCCTGTGCTGCCCACTGAGACAACCAGACAGTAAGGCCACGATACACAGCCCAACTGTCAGTACAGATGGTTATCTGACCTGATTGCCTAGTCAAAACAAGCTACACCACCCGTTGACTAGATTGCCCTACCCAAGGCTCATATCAGAACTCTTCCTATAAGGGCTGAAAGGCAATGACCACCCATGTCGGTGTATGGCCCTTTGCAGCTCCATCTGTATATACCAGGCCTCCACTGGTGGCATCCCTGTCCTCTCCTAATAGGGGCTTACTGTTGGAACTTTCACACTTGGTAAGGTGGGTGCAGGTTTGACCACAAAGGTTAATGGTCCCAGGACTTGCTGTAATTCCTGTGAGAGAGGGCTTTTGGAGAATCTAACCTATTGTTCTAAATAGGCCCCCACTTGGTCAGGGTCGGTGTCTGGGCAGCCCCAGTACAGGGAACTGTGGTCCAGACTAGCACCCACCCCTCAATTGGGAAGGCCAGTAATGACCTGTACTGCTTGTATTCCTGTGAGTCCTTCAATAGCCAGTAAGGCAATATCCACTGCTGCCAGCTGTTAATCCAACAGTGAATAGCAAATCTCTACTCCCTCCCTCCTTGATACCAAAACCTACTGGCACTTTCTGGGCCCCATGCTTCTGCCATAATCCCCACCCATATCCATCTGTGCTGGCAGGCAGACAACTGTCACCAGGAATGGTATGGAGCAGTCAGTGACTTGCAGTGTCTGGGTCACAGCCACTGCTCTTTCTGTCTCAGCAAAAGTCCTTTCCACCTCTGGCATCCAGTCCCATGTTTCCTCTCACTTTATAAGGTGATGCAGTGGCTTTAACAGCATGGCTAAGTGGGGGATAAATGTTCTCCAATACCCGAACAACACCACATATGTTTGTAGCTGTTTAACAGTTTCCGGGCAGGGGTACTGTTGTATTTTATCAATCACTGCTTCAGGTAAAACTTTTATCTTACCCAACCAGACAACACCCAAGAACTTGATAGAATAATGAGATCCCTGCACCTTCTCTTCATTGATGGCCCATCCCCACCCCTGGACAGCCTGGTACAAACTGCAAGCTGCAGATTCTAGATCTAGAATAGGATCAGTTATTAATATTATATCATCAATATAATGGAACACTTGAACTGATGGTGGATGGGAACAGGTTGCCAGGTCACTAGCCACTAAGCCATGACACAAAGTAGGACTGCAAGTATCCTTGTGGGAGGACCACGAACGTCCACTGGGGGCTCTCCCATGTGAAGGTGAATTGATCCTAGCTTTCCAGTGCCATGTCAATGGAAAAGAAGGCATTAGCCAAGTCCAACACAAAGTGGTAAGTCCCCAAAGTCACAGTCAGTTTATCCATCAGGTCAGTAATCCATCAGTACAGCAGCATGCTGCAGGGGAGTCACTTTGTTTAGTTCTTGATAGTCCACCGTCATTCTCCAAGTGCTGTCTGGCTTCTTCACAGGCTACATGGGTGAATTGAAAGGGCTGTGTGCTGGGTGGATGATGTGTGCTTCCTCCATCCACAAAATGGTTTGGCCTATTTCCTCCTGTCCACCTGGCAGCTGGCATTGTTTAATAATCACTATGCAGGTGGCTTGTGGCAACACCAAGTGTGTTTGGTAGGGTGATCTTGCCATATAGTTTTCACAACATGCACAGGCAATCAAAACCCCCCCAGAGTCGTTTGCATCATTAGACTGTGCAGAATATCCACCCCTAGAATGTATTCAGCTGCTGGAGATACATAAATTGCATATTGATGTGGGGGCAAGTGTCCAATTCCCAAAGGCAGAGTCACTCATCGCATCCACACTGTTTGTCCACCATACACCTCTATGACTGCAGAGGGGCCTGGAACCTATCCGGTTTGCCATAAAGGAGAGTTGAGTCAGCACCTGTATCCACCAGCACCAACACCTGCTGTACATTCTGTGGGCACCAGTGAATCACGAGTTCAACAAATGGACTCTAGTATTCCAGTGTCCCAATATGCTGAATACCTCGGCCCCACCCCTAGTTGGGAAGGAAATCAATCAGTGCATAAGGCATGAGTTCCTGGACTGCCATAGTATTGGCCCACACCTGCTTCAGGGGCAGCGGGCAATAGCGTTGGTCTGGACACAACTATTTCTATGGCCCCATCAAGATTTCTAAAGACTGTCCATCAAGCTTTTCATAAGCCCAAAGAGCAGCCAAAAGGTCAGTCCATACCTGTCTATGGCTTACTTTCAGAGGTCCTACCGCAGCTGTCCCTGGCACCATTTTCACCACGGTTATTTTCCTTTTTCCTTTGTGCGGCTTCACTGCAGTAGTTCTCACCTTGGTCACTTGAGGTCGCTTTACTTCTACATTTACCAAGCAAGCTAATTCTGACACTGCTTTGTGTATTGGATTGTCAGTATATGGCGCTAGAAATGTAGTGACAGTTCCAAAGATACCTGCAGGATCATTCACTAGAACAAAATCTTTCATACGAGACATTAACAGTTCTTTATCTGGACTGCGATAATGGAGAGCAAATATCATCTGCCTCATACCCATTTCACAGGGCACGAGCACCAACTCCAGATATGTGCTCCACTTTGTTACATGTTCCCCGGCATGTCGCCTGGGCTATCCCACACTGCCTTTGCTGCAGCCATTAATTTATCAGTGTCTTATTGCTGGTGTTTGGATTTGTGCATCCAGCGCCCTGCAATCCATGTCGCACTGAGGGCATGACAGTTATTTTGGCGAGTTGCAACACCTCAGAGGGTGAGAGCTCAGTATTCTCCATGCCCTCATCCCACAGCCACAACAGTCAGGCAGGCACAGATTCCCCCAAATGTTGCTTACACTGCTTGGCCAAATCCCTCAATTCCATGGCCATATATGTTGTGTACTTCACGTGCTGGGTAGCTATCAGCCCCCCTTCCCCACATCTACAGGTTCTTGCATTTCTATGCATTGCTGCACCATAAGGTAAGCATGCAAAACCAATAGAGCTGTGCCACACTTGGGGCTCTTGGCCTGTGGTGACGGGACAGTACTCACCGATCCCCGTAACATATATTCAGTGGCCGCCAGCTGTTGCTCCAAGTCTTCTTCTGTCCGTTGGAGACTCTGCACTCGCTGCTGCCACTCCTCAGTCTCATGAGCGGCACGGCGGACAACCATCAGGAACATCCACGCCAATTGCCCTGGTGATTCCTGGTGGACGAGAGGAACTAGGGACTCTAGCATCTCCAACGTCATCTGTATAGTCTTTTGGGGTCAGCTGAATGGACGCCAAATCTTCCAGCAACCCCGAATCAGTCAAATATGTTGCCACCAGCTACCAAATAGAGGCTGGGGGTCACATCTCCTCCACATCCCCCCTCCATGTCCAGGAAAGCTGAACGACCATTGCTCTCATGACCACACACCTCATCCTGCTTTCTTTGTAACTCCTCCAAGGTACCATTGGAAACTGGAAAAATCACATAACTGTTGAGCAGAATGAAAGGTTTGACAAGATTTTCTAAAGGGAGATGAGCAATTTCTCCTTGAAGTTCATCTGGGATATAAATGAAGAGTGCAATTCTAATGTCAGCACAAATATTTTAAGAAAGCATATTCAGAAGAAAGCATATTTATTATATACTTTAATCTTGGCTTACCATTGGATCATTATAGAAATACCTAAGTGATTAAGAAGTATTAATATAGTAGTTTTGCAACATTTGCATTTCTAGCCTAATTTCCATTCCCCAGGGATTTCTTAGTTTCTGATCATAAGAGGATTCCCCTTAATCTTTGGGTATGAAATAATGGAATATTTTTCTTTTAACTTTTAGTAATTCTTAAGTTTTTGAGCAGAAGGAGAAGGCATACCATGTCATTAATTTGTTCTTGACATGGAAAACTTCTCCATTAAAAACACTGCTTTGGTCTTTTTTTCATACTGAAGAAGTTAATTTCACATGATGAAATGAGTGAATCTTTTAGTTTCAGGCATCTCAGGCTTGTGTTGAACTTAGGAGTGTTAGCTACCCCAAATATTTTCATGCATGCACATACCACATACTTAGTTGATGTGGATAATATGCTTATGTTGTAAGAAAACTGTTTTTTCTAATTAGTAACCAATTGAACAAAA